GAAGAAAATTTTAAGGTAAGATAAGACGTATAACTAGTTTCACATGAATGATTAGTATGCATTATATTTATTAGAAACGTCACTATATTATTAGAGTTGTATTAAAGGGTCCATCTTTGTAGCTTCGCTCCATATCTATAAATTGACAGGACTGGGCCTAACTTTGTTGGTTTCAATTTCATCTAGTCGTCATTTCTTTTCTGTTTTTACTTTTTTGGACCATTGAATCCGATTGTGTCAAGAAAAAGATTCCTTTTTGCACGCTTAATTTAGGCTGTGTTTAGATCGTGAAATGAAAATTTTTGGATGTCACATTGGATGTTTCGGGGATGTCGGAAGGGGTTTTCGGATACTAATAAAAAAAACTAATTACATAGCTCGCCTGGAAACTACGAGACGAATTTATTAATCCTAATTAATCCATCATTAGCGCATGTTAGTTACTGTAGCACTTATGGCTAATCATGAACTAATTAGTCTTAAAACATTCGTCTCGCGATTTCCAACCAAATTGTGTAATTAGTTTTTTTTTCGTCTATATTTAATACTCCATACATGTGCCGCAAGATTCGATGTGATAGTTTGGGTTGAAAATTTTTGGAACTAAATCAAGCCTTAGACAGTATGATATGGTATGTGTTCGAAAAGGAAATTGATATGGGTCAAACATATGTAATTCAGCACCTTTTTTTTGCGAAGATTTATAGAATATAAAATACAAAGTTTCCTTTTCTTTTCTTTGCTTTTGGTTTGGCATCTTGGAAGTACTAGAAGTAGCGATCAATCAATGAATGGGCTTTGCTGTTTCAGTTTTTATTTTATTTTAAAGGAGAATGGACTTGTGGCCGAGAAATGTAACTCAAGCAGGAGAATGACCCTAATGATATTTTGGTGTGTGTTCATGGACTTGGGGCACCGGCACCGGCACCGGCAGTAGATGTCATGCCTTTTTGCAACGTATCTGTTTGATGATATTTTCTTTATAGGTGGCACTTTCTCCTGATCTCTCTTTTATCTCTCGGTGCTTCAGTGCTTGCTTGCGTGCATTTTTTTAAGAAAAAAGAGAGAGAAGAGGGAGGGAGGGAGGGAGAGGAAACTATAGTGTATGACTGTTTTTTTATTTAGTATACTTTGAATTTCCTTATGTGTGTATACACACACTGACACATACATAGATATATATATCTAAGGGCCCGTTTAGATCATTGAATTGAATTCATTTCATTAAGTAATTAAGCTAATATAGTTGTATATAAATTATATTTGTATATTATTATTGGCTATACGAGAGAGATACTTATGCGTTGCATTTCTACCGTAGGAGAGCGAGATGAAGAGCGTGTTATAAGTTGTAAAATATAAACATAGAATTGTGATCTATAGAATGAATTTCCATTTCTCACCCTATGAATTTGCGATAGGCTTATATGTGAACTTTGAAAAGTGGTAGAATGTTAAATTCCAAGGCAAATAGTCTAATTTATTAAGTAGATTTTATTTTTCAATTCCTCCAAATGAAAGGATCCAAACGACCCCAAGGAAAAAGTGTGAAGAACTTCCTCAAATTTGGATTATATCTAGATAACCCCTAAACTAAAATTTGGTTTGATTTACTCCCCGTAACTATTTCAATTGGTCCATTTTACCCATTAACAATGTATGCTTTCTTTTTTGCATATAAGTTGACTTTAATTTTGAATTTTATAAGATGACAGAGGACATCATACTTTATTGTAAAAAAAATACATATTATCTTTTTCAGCATTATTTCGGTAAGTTAGGAACTGAATAACACATTGACAAAAATGTATGCAATGTAATGATGGAGAACTCAAAAATATATTCGTTCAAACACAAAATATGATGTCCTCTGTGGCTCTATTATATCATAAAATTTGAAATAAAAATTCACCTTGTATGTGGAGGGAAAAAAGATAAATCTAATTAAAGGGGGAAAATTAGGTCAACTAAAATAATTGGAGGAGGAAATTGAATCAAACATTAGACTAGATGGTTTATCAGTTCATAGGCCACCGTTGGAAGAGTATTTTGGGTTTTGTTAATTATTAATGTAATTGGCCACGGTGAGGGCATGTTTAGATGAGATTCTATAATCCATATTCTGAGTAAAAATGAATATCAGTTAAGAAAGTTTTGGATTGTCTGGTATTCCACCAATTCTTAATCCAAAGTTCCAGACATTTGTTAAAAGAGAAAGAGACTCCCGAGGGCAAAAGTACGATAAATACAAGATATAAGAAAGAAGGCAATGCTTTCTTTTTTTCATTTTTGATATGTAAATTGAGTTGTTAATGAATCCGCTTCATTCACAGACTCTATTTCATTTGTTGAATATATATGATATTTCTTTTCTTTGAAGCAAAAATTCTATAACAAGGTTTGAGACCTTGTGTTTGTATCTATTTCTCTTTTTTATACTAGTGGAATTTCATTGTATTTGGTTTCTTTCTTAGATCTAAATGGAGTGGAATACAGAAATAAAAAGGCCTTTCATATAAAAATGGAAGAATAGTATGCCATATATCTCACTTGGACAAAACAAATTCGAAGCAATTTTCTCTTATCCTCGTTTGTTCCTTCCTTTAGATAAATACTCGAAAGTCCCCTTACAATTGCAAAAAAAAAATACAATTGGTACTCAAAATACTTCAATTGGTATACGCAAGAAATAGGCCAACTCGGCAGCTTTTTGTTCAATTTCTCGTGGAGTAAAAAACTTCTCATAAGTACGAGTCAAGGGAATGACCCCCTGGCCCCGGATTTCCATATAAAGGATACGACGAGGATAAAGACCCTCTTTAACTTGAATTCTAATTGATTGGATATCCCGCATAAGGAATTTAAGGAAGATGCGACGTTTTATTCCAGGGAATCCCAAACGAAAAATGCACACTATTCCCTCTTTTCTATCGAATTGGTCATAACCACTGCCTATATTCCATAAAATAGTGCACCACAAATAGGAGCTAATGAATAGGCCCACGATTCTGTAGAAAGACATCACGACCCTTCCAGGAAAAAAAGAATTTATTGATATGGAAGCACAGATATCATATTCTTACCAAGATAACTGGAAGCCCCAACCGCTAAGAATCCTAATGAACCTAAAAAATATTACAAGCCCAAAAAAATTACCTCTTTTTTTAGAACCTTTTAGAAGTACTATCCATATGTGTTCTGATCGCCAATTCATATTAGAGATATACTAAATCTAGTAGCGGTCAATTGAAATTGAGAGAATAAGCTAAATGATTTTTACTTTACTTTTTTTTATTTTGAAATAGTCTTCAGTAGCTAGTACTCCTGTGAAATAATTGGTTAGATACATTGACTTTCTATTCAAAAAATTAGTGAATCCACTTAAAAAAACTCGCTATAGTCGGCTACGCATATGCATGCATTTATGCTGGTAGTTTATATCTGCATCCATAGACTTTTTTCATTTGTGTGTAGAAAGAGCTATATACCCTATCATATTATACTACTTACACAACAAAATATCTGTATTATGATCCTGGTAATACATTGAGAAATTTTGGCCCCGTCGTTTCTAGATAATCTTATTTTTCTGCACATAAAGAAATAAGGAAGTCATTGCAATTGTCGGAAATACTAAGCCTACTAAAGGTACAAAAAAGAAGGTAAGTTAAGATCTGTCGTAGAATATGTGTCTTAATTTACATTTACTATTTCTATCTATTCGAAATATATCTTAAGATTTTTATGATATAATTAAGGATATCTATTATAAGGAATATTGACTATTGTATTTTTTAGTTTACAAAATAAAGAATTTTTTATAGAATATTATTTTGTATAGAATACTATTCTTTTATATCTGGTATTTCTTGAATTTTGTGTACGTGTGTTAGAATCCTCTAAAATTCTAAGGTGTTTGGATGGAATTCTAGGACTGAGATTTTTTCTATCCAGATTCTTAGAATCCGTCCAAAGGTTACCTGAGTAGCGGAGGAGAGAAGAAAACAAATGTGTTGCGTGTGCGCGTGGTTGGGGATTTTCGCAAGCAAACAGTGCAGCATGATATAAAAAAAAGTAAAATAAAAAATTGAAGAAGCAACGGAATGCGAGAAATCGCGGGGAGGGGAGGCCAACGGAGGCGTCGCTCTCCACCTGTGTGTGTGTGTGAGAGAGAGAGAGAGACGGGTAGAGGTGGGCGAGAGCCCGCGAGATCTTCTCCTCCTCGATAGGCAAGGCAGTTGGTTGGTTGGCTGCAACAAACTACTCTAACGGAGTTCTCCACGGCCCATGGATTGGATTTTTTTTCCCTATTCATCTCATCATCGTCTTGTTCCGCCTTTCCTGTTTCTGTTTTGTAGTCTCCCAATCCAATCACCTGCCCCCATGTCTATATATATTAATAACATACCAAAAAAAAAATCCCTGCCGCGCCGCTATTAGCTAGCTGTCGTCTTCTTCGTCCTCCTCGTTGCCGCAATCTGTTCCTCTTCCCCACCCACAGCCTGCTTGTTTTAGCAAAAGTAGGCAGAAAGAGGGGAGAGGAACGACGAGGGCGACGCGATTGACCAATCAAATCGATCAATCTAAGCCTGCCTGGTGGCTGGTGCCCAGGAGAGGAGAGGGACGGAGGCGGCCAGTGCTGCTCGTCGTGGTCAGCGGCGACGAACGAACGAGCAAAAAGCCTTCCTTTCCTTTTGCTGATTTGCTCTCTGCCCTGCCCTGCTAGTGGCGTCCAGTCGCCACGGAATCAATCAATTTCAATCAGAAAGTTGGAATTTTGATTGAGTTTCGAGGTGCTCCGTAAACTCAATTCGTCGTCCACACGACATTATTTGGATTGGAATCGGACCACCACCACAAAGCAAGCAAGCAGAGGAAGGCAGTCCAGTCCAGATTGGATTAGATTCCCTCTCTTATTAGCTTCGCTTCCTGACTAGACTCTCTCGAGAGAGAAAGAAAGGCAAGCAGCAGCCGCCCAAGAAGAGAAGAGAAGCAAAGCAATGGATGTAAGTCGTCTTCCTTCCTCGTCTTTCCTTTCCTGCCCGCTTTGCTTTCCCTCCTTTCCCTATCAATTCTATTCTATCACACCACTTGCTGACCTTCTTCTTCTTTTTTTCTATTCTAATTTTATTCTCCTCCATCCACGCACTACTCACCTATAGTATGCTCTGCAGTGCCGTTCGGCTGACCTTTTTCTCTAGCACCGATTCAACCGGAACATTGTTGCTGATTGCCCATGCCGCATGATTGCTTTGCTTGCGTGAACCATCGTCTTTAGTTTGCTCGCTCTGCCTGTTCCTGTTATGCTAAACCTGCCATTCAGTCGATCTTTTTCAAGATTCTTTTTCTTGTCTTGTGTTCCACATGGCACGTAAGTAGATCACTACTACTGGTTACTACTGCATTATCAGGCACCGCACTAAATACACCCCCCACTGTCACTCACTCACTCACTCACTCTTCCGTTCCGTCCCACTCCATCTTGTATCTGTATGTATCACGAGGATAGGAGGAGCAGCAGCATTCAGCTACCAAATCGCATTAGATTTTCTAATTGATTGATACATGCAACCCTCCCTCCATCAGTATTGAATGCCCTCAGTATTACCACCACTTTAGTTTGGCGATAACAAAAAACGTGTCCATCATTGTTTCTCGCTCTTTTCCCTTTAAAATTTTCTGGACGACATCCATCCATCCATGATTCTTATGAAAATGAAAATGGAAATGGAAATGATGCGAGCTACTTTTGGTCTTGGGGGAAGCCACGGCATCACCATGCTGTGCTGCGGCGGCCTCCTCCTCCTTCCTGCCCTTTTTATAGGCCGGCTCCGCCTCCGCTTCCTCGTCCTTCACCTGCGACGCAGAGGACCTTCCCCTGCGCCTGCAATTTTACGACGACGACGACCACCAAGACCATCAGGCTCCTCCCGACACGGTGCCCCTCCTCCTGCCTATCAAGATCATGGACGCCGCCGACGAGAAGGGAGAGACGCCCCAAATCTCCGAGGATACCGCCCACCAGATTAGCGTTGGTATGTATTACGCCATTCCTCCTCCTCCTCCTCCTCCTCCTCCTTTCTTTTCTCCTCTATCTACTGCGACTGTGTATCTCTGCATGCGCACTCCTGCTTCTTCTCACAAACAACTGAACAACAAACTCTCATGATGTATTTATGTATATAAACCTCCTTATTTAGAATCCTTCTTCAGCCATCCACTGCTTTGCTCTTCCATGGATGAAATTTCTTCTGCTACATAAATATATCTGTATAATCAAATAATAGTACTAATCTTTTATTTATTATCCAATTTACAGAGTGGAGGAAACAACCATGTGTATTAATTATAAATATATCTGTATATAATAATCAAATAATAGTATTAATCTTTTATTTATTATTCAATTTACAAAGTGGAGGAAACAACCATGTATGTAGTATGTACACGTGGCCAAAACCACAGTAATAATTACTAAATTTGTTTATGTCTGCATTTTATATTTTAATAATTAATAAAGTATACATTATGTATGGTTGAATCCTAAAACCATTCTGTCTGCCTGCTGTTTTCTTTCAGATCCTTGGTATCAAGTTGGTTTCGTCCTCACAACCGGGGTCAACAGCGCATATGTTCTAGGATACTCTGGATCGATTATGGTCCCTTTAGGCTGGATCGGCGGCACATGCGGCCTCCTCCTAGCTGCCGCCATTTCCATGTATGCTAATGCTCTTCTTGCACGGCTTCATGAAGTCGGTGGCAAACGCCATATAAGATACAGAGATCTTGCTGGACACATATATGGTCAGTAATTATCTAGTCAGAATAAGCTAGTAGTACGATTCATTTTCTTTATTGATTTGATTTGACTAAACGAAAAATTTATGGGCTTACATGGATCATTTCCTTTATTCTTTTGATTTGGTTTGACCACAGGACGGAAAATTTACGGACTTACATGGGCTCTGCAGTACATTAACCTTTTCATGATCAACACTGGCTTTATCATCTTAGCTGGACAAGCTCTCAAGGTATGATCCAGGGAAAAAAGGAAATCGCCTCAGATAGTCAGATTGATACATACTGTTTCTTTTCTACATCAAACTCTCTTCTCCCCATGACTCCCTCTATCATATTTCTTGGCCCTACTGTTTATCGATCCTCCTGTATGTAAATTAGAGTTTTTTCTGAAATTCCGTTTCTTGCTTTTCCTTCCATTAGATCGATGAATTTGTCGATAGCATGCTGTACACAGGTTAGATTATAGTTGCATTTACTCTTGATGTAAATCTAAATTACGAAATATTTTCCTTGCAAACTTATTTTGTCACCTTCCATTTGCAGGCAACATATGGACTCTTTAGTGATGCTGGAGTTCTGAAACTCCCTTACTGCATTGCAATATCAGGATTCGTCTGTGCTCTTTTTGCGTTTGGAATCCCTTATTTATCTGCCCTCAGGATTTGGTTGGGATTCTCCACACTTTTCAGCCTCATCTATATTGTGATAGCATTTGTGCTGTCATTGAGAGATGGTATTATCCTTTGGCTCCGTCTTTATTGATACCATGACTTCATATGCATTTCTGTGTTTAATATAACATTTTTGTTTCGTCGCTGATGTTTCATACTAGGGATAACCTCGCCTGCGAGGGATTATAGTATTCCAAAATCATCACATTCAACTCATGTCTTCACTACAATAGGTGCCGTAGCAGACCTTGTGTTTGCTTACAACACAGGTATGCTGCCAGAAATTCAGGTGAGTCCAGAGATCATTTTCTGGTATTAGTTAATTTAGTAGCAGCAAGGAAATCGCATTATTATATGGTTAATATATAATAATATTTCAGGCGACCATAAGGCCTCCTGTGGTCAAGAACATGGAGAAAGCTCTATGGTTCCAGTTCACCGTTGGCTCCTTGCCTCTCTATGCTGTAATCTTTATGGGTTACTGGGCTTATGGTTCCTCAACATCAGGTTATCTGCTAAACAGTGTCACAGGCCCAGTTTGGGTAAAAGCCGTTGCAAATCTGTCAGCATTTTTTCAGACCGTCATAGCGCTGCATGTAAGTCACCACCTTCGTTTTGTTCTTCTGGTCCAAACTGCAATATTTTTTTGTAGTAAACAAACTACCATATTTAGTCCTATATACATGAATCTAGCAGTGTGCATGGCTGATTTACTTTTGATGTAGCCATTGATCTACTAAACTTGAGTTTCATGTATTCTCCAGATATTTGCTAGCCCAATGTATGAATTCTTGGACACAAAATATGGAAGTGGGCGTGGTGGTCCTTTTGAAATCCACAACGTAATGTTCAGAGTAGTAGTGAGAGGAGGCTACCTGACGGTGAACACGCTGGTGGCGGCGGTGCTCCCATTCCTTGGTGACTTCATGAGCCTGACGGGCGCCCTGAGCACCTTCCCACTGACGTTTGTGCTCGCAAATCACATGTACCTGATGGTGAAGGGGCCTAAGCTGTCTGCCATCCAGAAATCATGGCATTGGCTGAATGTTGTTGGGTTCACTGCATTGGCTGCTGCTGCGGCGGTTTCAGCAATAAGGCTCATCATGCTTGATTCCAGCACCTACCACTTTTTCGCTGATCTTTGAGCTTGAGGCCCCGATCAGTGAAATATTCAACTCTAGCTTGTTTCCTTTTTGTTTTTGGAAGGTTGGCAGATAGGGTGGTTAGCTACCAGCAGTAGTTGATTTGTGATGTAAACGGTTAATTCGAGCAATAAAATCAAGGTCAAATGTGCTTGCATTGCCTCTTCTCTTCTCTTTGGTTACCTTGCCTGTTCAAATTCATCAGTATGATAGTATATGCTGAACCAGAGCTAGTATTTCAGAGAAATATTTATTGATGTACATATATGTTTGGGGTGCATTGCGCTTGCGCAGCACGGAGAAGTGGATAATTGTGCTGTGCTGCTTGCAGCCGAGCACCTGAGGTTTTATGAATCGACGAACAAAAACAATTGCAATTGCTAGTAGCCATGCAGGAGTATAAGGATGCATATTGCATAGACGATATAAGAGCAGGGCAGAGCAGAGCACTAGCAGCAGGCCGAAGCGGGGATGGTGTCGATGCAGGACTTGTAGAGGATGCGGAGGTAGTCGAGCAGGGCGTCCTGGTTGGCGCCGTCCACCGGCTCCATCTCGAAGCTCCACACCACCAGCGTTGCGCCGCCGTAGTCGAAGAGGCTGATGGTGTTGCGAGAGCCGGCGAGGCCGACGTTGCCGTCCTCCATGAGGTAGGTGTAGGAGCGGGAGGCGTGGTCCATGGCCACCAGCCTCTCCCTGACCCACGACGACGACGCCTGCTGCTGCAGCTGCTGGGGGAACATGAGGCCGCCGCGCACGAGGCGCACGTAGCCCGGCACGCCCTCATCGCCGGCCACCGCGGTGCACGACTCCACCATGGGCATCCACTCGCGCAGCCGAGACGTGGCGGACACCAGCTCCCACACGCGGTCCACGGGCGCGCTCACCACCCCGCTCGCCGTGCCGCGCCACTTGCCAGTAGCCTGCCCATCCATGGCTCGAGAACTGTCAGCTCCAGCTCCTGCTCCTGCTCCTGCTCCTGTAAATGACTAGTCTGCTCCAGCACAAAGAACGAAGAATAGGAAGGGGAGAACAAGGACAGTCCTGTCCGGGACTCCCAAGGTGATGTGCTTTCCAGCTTCCCAACCCAAGGGTGAGTCCAAGCTACACGGCTGCAAAACCAAAGCTCGCCGCGCAAGCGCTCTATTAAGCCCTATTTGATCTCCTAAGGATAATATATAAGATAGAAAAAAAATAAGAATGAGATTTTAGAATCCAACTATCTACCCAAATTTATTATTTAAAAATTTTTATTTTGTAAAAGTAATAATTACTATGAGAATGAGATCTAAACACCTCTCATTATTGAGAATTCAAATTCTGAATTCACTATCAAGAATCCCAATTCTCACTATAAAAATAAGATCCAAACCGACCCATAACCAGGCATATGTGTCACGTTTTGACCTTTACAAATTTTAATCTTTTATTACACATTTCTTCCATTATTAGGAACTTGTGGTTGAACATCTGTCAAACACCTCAAGTTTTTCTTAAATTTTAAGCTTTCTTTCAAAAGAGTTGCATATTCACTTGATCGTTTCTATTTTTTTAATTTAATTATTTGACTTCACTAAAGAGTTTCAGTGAAGCTATAACTTTGAACTTAGTTTGTATTTTTGTAATTCATACTCGCAACTTTACATTACTTTCCCTAGCTGGTTGCTTGTAAAAAGTTGATCAGTGAGTAAGGAAGATTTCGGTTGACTGAAGAGAGAGAGAGAGAGAGAGCTGATTTTATAAAGCCGTTTGTTTACCCTGCATAAACAATTCAAGATGGAAAATGGACGTCGCAATGCAAACTGAGGTCTCATTGTCACATATAAGCATCTCCAATGCTGAAGCAATAAATCTTGCGTTGACAGTTGTCTCATTGACAGCGGGTACATCACCTCCCACCAAGCCCTCCTATGGAATGCAAGACTTTTTTTTTGTGTGTTTTTCCAATTGAAAATGAATCGTTTTCTATGAAATTCATGTACGATTCTTGTAAAGTTTGTGTTCGAATGGAGGCCTAAAAATATTAACATAGCTTTCTGGAATAAATGCAGGAAATAGAGTACTCGTACAAGGATGTAGCCTAAAGTTTGCCACTTGGGATCAGCCGGACCTCGACAAATTTTGAGAATTTCAATGGAAAATCACTATATATATAGTCGTTAAGTATTCTTAATGCTGCCTTTTGAAATAAATACACGGAAATACGAACAGCCATGAGGATGGAGCTAAGGATTGCCATTGAGATTAGTTGGACCTCAACAAATTTTGTGAATTTCAATGAAAAAGTCACTGTATATAGTCGTTAATTATTTTTGGTGACCATCATACAAGACCTGATGGTCTCTTTATGGTCTGATGATTGCACCCCTGATGCAGGGGTGGAGCTTCGTTATTGCCACCCCTTTCAATGCAATTTTTGCACTAGCTAAACCGTAGAATTAGTAGTATTCATTATTGTTTATTTAATTCACAAATCTATGAACGCCCCCCCGCCCCTATTTCTATGTCAAGCTCCGCCAATGTCCTGATGAGTTGAGGGCTGAATTCGAGTAGGAGTCAGCATGTTCCGCTACAAGGAATTCACTAAAGTCTTGTTCATTTCATTTCCAAACTAAAGGGATTGGAAAGGATTGGTGGGGATTGTGGAGGATTTTGACTTGTAGGGAATTATATCCCTCTCAGGTCTTGTGTTTGATGCGCATGTATTCATCTCAATCCACATATGTTGAAGTAGATTGGAGTGGAATTAAACTAAGTTCAGTTCCATTCCATTCCACTCCAACACATGTGGATTGGAGTGGATACACGTGCATCCAAACACGACCTCAATCTTTTTCAACTGCCTTGTTTAGGGATGAAACCGACGCGTGTTGCAAATTAGGTGCCCTCCTTCTAAAGAGAATCGTGAAGCTAGTGAGGGTAAAGGAGTACTACTAATTTAATTACATTACAACCGTGAAAAATACTTACTACTGTAGAGTAGTAGTACAAAACATGGTGAACTTGAATGAAGTAAATAAAAAAAAAACATATGCGAGAGTGGCAGGCTCATCATCTTCAGTAGCTTGCATCTATACACTGCTAAGTTCATAACTTGTGGTTGCCTGCTTGTACCTGTACCACTTTGCAATCCAGAGGTAGACGACGAAGTTGATGACGCTGAGCACGGAGAGCAGCCAAAAGAAGTAGTCGAGGTGGCCCCGGTTGAGGTTGTCGGGGATCCAGCCGAGGCCGCCGTTCCTGGTGGTGACGGCGGTGACGACGGACACCAGCAGCGCGCTGAGGTAGCTGCCGAGCGCGGACGAGGTGAGCGAGAGCGCGGTGCCCATGCTCCTCATGGCGTCAGGCGCCTGGTCGTAGAAGAACTCGATCTGGCCGATGAAGGTGAACACCTCGGCGGCTCCGATGATGAAGTACTGCGGCACCTGCCAGAAGATGCAGATGGGCAGGTAGTTGGTGGCGTCGTCGAGCATGCCGTGCAAGGCGGCGACGCGGAGCCTGGCCACCTCCAGCGCCCCCGCGGCGAGCATGGACAGGACGGAGACGGCGAGGCCGATGCCCATGCGCTGGAGCTGCGTGAAGCCGCGCGGGTGCCCCGTCCAGCGGCGCGCGGCGGGGACGACGAGGCGGTCGTAGGCGGGCGCCCAGGCGATGACGCTGAGGGTGTCGAAGATGGAGAGGGAGGCGGAGGGGATCTTGAAGGCGCCGGCGCCGGAGCCCATGCGCGGGTCCAGTGTGTTGCCTTGCAGCACGAACATGGTGCTCATCTGGCTGTACACCGCCGACATGACGATGCCGCTCGCCCACACCGGCAGCAGACGGATGACACTCTTGAGCTCCTCCACCTGCGTCACTGTGCACAGCGGCCACGGGTTGGGGTTCTTGCCGTCCTTGTCCTCCTCATCAGTGTCCACCACCGCCGCCCTGTCCAGCCACCGGAACTGCTCCGTGTGCTCCAGCTTCCTGCTGCCCTGGATGGCGGACGCGGATGACACCGCCGGCGCCTCGTGGAGCAGGGACGCGTCCGCCGGCACCGGCTGCTTTCCCTTCTTCCTCCAGGCGGCGACCACCACCTGCAGCATCCGCGTGAGCGGGCTGCCCCCCGGCTTCTGGTGCCTGTAGAGCTTGCTCCCTATCAGGAAGCTGGCGACGGCGATGGCCATGGCGGCGGCGGGGATGCCAAAGCCCCAGCCCCAGCCGACGTTCATCTGGACCCAGACGAGCACGGAGGAGGCGACGAGGGCGCCCACGTTGATGGACATGTAGAACCAGTTGAAGAAGGACCTCTTGCTCTGGCGCTCGCGCGGGTCGGCGTCGTCGAATTGGTCGGCGCCGAAGGATGAGACGCAGGGCTTGATGCCCCCCGTGCCCACCGCGATAAGGTAGAGCGCCACGAAGAAGGCGGCGCTCTGGCCCGCGGTCACGGCGCCTGCTCCGTCGGGCGGCGGCCTGAGGCCCGGGACGGCGGCGCTCATGGTGAGCAGCGTGAGGCCGACGATGTAGAGCGCCATGAAGGCGGCGATGGTGCGGTACCTTCCGAGGTAGGCGTCGGCGAGGAAGGCGCCGACGAGGGGCATGACGTAGCAGGTGCCGGACCAGTTGCTGACGTTTTTGGCGGCGGCGGCGTTCCCCTGGTGGAGGCGGTCGATCATGTAGTTGACGAGGTTGGAGCTCATGCCGTAGTAGGCAAGGCGCTCGCAGCACTCGTTGCCCAGGATGAAAGGGCACGCGCGCCACGTCCCCGTCTTGCTCCGCACCGCTGGCTTGCCGGAGCGGTCCGTCGTCCCGTCAAGCGTCGTCGTCGTCTCATCTCCTTCACCGGCCATGGCCGCCATTGTCGATGGATTCGTTCGTTCCACTTCCATCGTCCACGATCCACGCCCTACCTATAGTAGACTGCAGATCGATCGGCCGCCGATATATCGTACCGAATCGACTACGATCGCAGCTAACAAGGCAAAGGCCCCCGCTCGCATCGCATCAATGCAAACCGGATTTCGTATATATATATATATATATATATATATATGAATACTGGGAGTGCATGGATTCAGTTGTGCGATTTGTAAAAATGGGATTTTAAAAATCGATCGTTTACAGATTTGACACTAGATCCACCTTTATTAATCCACACCCGAGTGCCTTTTGCAATATTTTCGATTCAGTTCGGCTACGGTTATATGTTCGTATTCGTATGGTACCCGAGATCCAAGTCGTTCACGGCAAAGAGAAGAATCGCGAAAAAGACTTCGGAGATCCCTGCATCTGCATGCATGCAACCGGCAACCGGCCAGATTCATCCTTTTCCATAGACCAGACCGAGTAACAAATTAACCACCTTTCAATGCACGTGCCAACTGTTTCAAGCGCAAAGATTTTTTTTATTACTTACCAATTCTTTTTTTGCATTCAAAATTGTTATGATTACCCATCAAATTGCAGTCAAATTTATTATGACCGTCTCATTTTGTTTTTTCCTTCCCCAATTTGCATTAAAAATTGTCTAATATTAATGTACATTGGTTGTATTATAATTAAGCCATTAAAAATTTTTAAGAAATTTTTTCCATATAAAAGGCAGGTTGCTTCTGTACCAACACTAGCGGTTGCACGAAAGGCAACACAACAGCCTCGCTTTGCTCCGCTGCAGCTCCGGCGTACGAGCTCTAAAACATTTAGTATATATATTTTACGAGGCTAAAGTTCATCATAAACAAATAAACCAAACTAAGCATGAGGCTCGCAGCAAGTTTGCCAAAACAAAACACAGTACAAACTACTAATTACATTTGCCAACCAGATATAGGCCTGCTGGCTGGGCACAGAAACAAAAGGCTGCATACAGAGCATCAAATCCCGAATCCTTAAAACCCTATTTACCATGGTGATGCAACTGCCAATCAAACTAAAACGACATCCCCATAGCGACATGCAGCACGCCTTCATGTACATCACGAACTATATTTTCTGGCAGTGCTGTACATCACATTCATTGCTGGTACCATCATATTCGGCAAACTGCTCTTGTGAATCATCTCCGCTTGGAACTTCATCCTCAGCTTGTGCAGTCCCACTTCCAAACACAGCTGCAACACAAGACGTACCAAATGCTTTGTCATTGGGGCCCACATCAACATGCTTGTTCACCTACCAATCAAATAAAGTAATAAGCCACAAGACAAGGTAAAATCTAGTTGAACAACAGCAACAATTATCTTACATTATTGGCCCGGTATATACTTTCAGGCATATCATGAATGACCACAGGTAGCACGTTGGCCAGCTGAGGATTGCTTGCAGGAGGTGTCGAAGCTATGAGCCTCATCAGTGTTTCCCTTGCGCTTCTCTCGACTAACGATTCTGCTTCTGGCAGCAGAGGCTTCAAGCTCGGGAACAGGGGAACTGCTGAAGTTATAGAAGGCCCACAACTCACTAGATATGACTGCCCCGCCGAACACACATCAATGACTGGGACATGCACAATGGGATCAGACATCAATGGCGTGAATGTTGGAACCTGTGAACCATGTAGGGGTATAAGTGGTGAAGTGGGGAGTGGAAGGTGAATTAATGGGTCATGCAGTATGGAGGGAAGATTAAGGGAAGGGAGATCAGTTGTATCCAGCTTTACAGAAACTGTTGAAGACGGTGGCTGTTCACTTGCTAGCAGCGAACTCAAAGGTGGTAGGGGCAGCGGATCTACAGATGTAGCTGGCAGATGCAAAGGGGTGACAGTGTATTGCAGTGATGATGGGCAAGGTGGGCACCAGCAATAGTAAGGCTTAAACTGTTTCTCCAAAGAAACCTCAGGAGCTGGACAAGTGCCAAGGGAGTAAATAGGCGGCAACAAGGGAAATGAAAGAGGCATGTCCAACGGAACTGAGCTAACATTGTTCTTTGAACAATCTGCATCGCACTTCTCACTGGTAGAATCAGGGTTGATTGTCAAAGGATTTGTATCAAGCGGAGCAGTTAACGGGGCCGACCATTCCGCACGGTGCTTCAGTTTGTCCCTCCCAACAACCCTTGCACATGAAGCCCTTGGTACCCCATCTTTAAAAGTGCCAGATCTCGGACTTAGGCTGGCTTGATAGACAGAGCTTGATTTAGTTGCACTAATAGCCGAGGCACGGTACCTGGAAGTTTTGGAAACAGCTGATTGGAGCTGTAAATATTGATCAAGTGACCTTGAAGTACTCAGAAAGTCATTAAGTGATCCCAACGATTTAACATCACCAATACTTGATGCAAGAAGATAAGCATGTAAATGAGTGGCAAAAGCGTCAAGTCGTGAATTGGAGATGCCAGTGAGATCAGAGAGTGTTGGCCTCCCGTCCAAAAGGCTTTTCATCTATGCACACAAAAACAAGAATAAGAATCCTTATCAGTACGTGTATTGCTATAGATAACACCGTTTTATGTTTTGTTTTTATTTCCATGTAGATAACAATTTAGCATAACGCAGTTAAGATAAAGGCAATGTATATTTATACAAACCTTTGTAAGAAGTTCCATTCCATGTTCCTTGGACTTCTCAGCACACCAGTAGTAAAATACTTCAGATTCTGATATTCTGATTAGGAAAGAGCGTCCAGAATTATCAGCTGATATTTCTTCAACCACAACCTCTGAAAATTCAAAGCCGTCGCTCAAGAGAGCTAGTTGCTCTGAATAACCATCATCACAAACAAAGGTAAGCCGCATGCTAGATGATGGCAGAAGAACAAGGTTCAGCTTCCCTCTGCACATAGGAAATGCAATACATGAGATCCCTGAACATATTATCATCAGAAATAACATGACTACATTTTTTCACCAAAGGACCAAATGGCATAAGACAACACGGCTACTAGAGTAAGAAAAGAAAAAAAAAAGAAGCAATGAAATGGAAACCATATGTCAAAATAGATAATTCAATAAAAAGAAAAATGAAGTTACTAAACAAGGGGTGCCAGTGCTAACAAAATGCAAGCATTAGCATACAGCACACTACTAGCAAAGAAAAGGAAGCAGACTAATTTTGACATCCATGAAACTCACTGTCTCATATCAGGAAATTTAATAGAAAGAAACTAAGCCTCTTAGAGTTTTAGTCACTTAAAAAGGTACATGCATCAATGTGAGAAAACAGTAGCCTTGTTAAGAACCTAATAAGATGGTAAAACATTCCACTGAGACATAAGCTTATTAAATTTACAAAAAAAAGAGAGCACAGGCTAGTGTAAAAGCTTCATAGCTTGGCCCAACTACATAGGAAAATCATACATCTCTGTTCCTACAAAATACATACGTGTGACTCACTTAAGCAACAATCCCTTTGAAATAATAAAAAGGGACTTAAGAACCTGGTTTGATTATTTGAACCACAGCAGCAGCACTGCCTTTCCATTGGAAGAAGTCAAGAGTGTAAAAGTCTAGGAACCAAATGTTCAACAACTTGTTCAGCTTTTAATTTTTCAGGTGAACTCATATGAACCAAAAATATCAAAATGATCTTTTCCTCACAGACGGTAAAATACCTTCCATACAAGTAAACAAGATTCATAAAAAAAAGAGTACACAAAAAATATCCAGAGTAGTTAGCACCAATGATCCCCATTAGGACAAAAAAAAAAGCGAAAGATGGAACAAAAGAAAAAGAGGTGTTCATAACCATTACATATTTAAGTAAAAACCATAAGGACTCCCACAAGAGAGAGTTAGAAAAGCACAGTTATTAATCACAAAATTATTTAAGGATGAAGAACTTGGAAAGCCAAGTAATTGGTTACAGACCGAGCACAAGTGTGGGCATATATACATCTGTTCAAGGTAAACCAAGAAGTAGAATATTGCACAAATTAGTTATGCTAGGGCATGCCCAGCAACAGCAGAACATTCGGATGATAACTAAAGAATTTTGCAGATGATCATTACAATATAGCAAGCATAAGTAGGAGTCCTATTCATCAGTCTCACCAAATATTGCAATACGAGATTATTCATTATCAATGCAGATAACTGATATTGCAAGGCCATGAAAGAAACTACCTTCTCTTCCCTCATATATCAGAGATTATGACAAACGCCCAAATTACCTACAAGTGAGAAGATAAATTCATTTGGCAGGGTGAACAGTGCCATCACTAATAAGATGAATTATGTAACCCTAGAATCAACATGAACACTCGCTGATGCACATCATTCTAAATTAGGTGCAATGATTCAGCAAACATCTCTTCTAACAAGTAATTATGTGTCGTGAAGTAAAGATGGGGACACTTATATACTCGCATAGAAAGCACAGAGGATAAAAGAAACAACAATTTTAATTAATTAGAAACTAAAGAGTGCTGCATCACAGGGCAGCAACCGCATGATCGACACTTCAACAGGTCTAAGTGGATTAGGATACTGGTATAAAAGGCATAAAAGGACATGAGACCAAATAATGAGCAGAGAAGAATGAAAATTGTCGTTGATGACTGTAGATGGCAGCCCCCCAACAATGTATTGAATCATGTCACTTGTATAATACATACTCACTCCATATGCAGTTAATATAGAATTAGTCAGGTCAGTACTTACAGCCTGATATGCCTAAATGAATTATTGTATCATGAGCTCTAGTGGTATGGTAACTTCAGATGCACCAATACACTCCCATGGAATATACAAGAAAAAAGCAATTACATAGACTGCATTATTATCACATCATATAGATACAGTGGCATGCCTTTTTTCCTGGAAGCAGAGACATAGAGAAAGCTACAGGATCACTTCTTCATCATTCCAACAGCATCTATGTAAGGACATATTGGTCAATAACATGTTGTTTATACGTGTAAAACCTACAAGATTTGAAATACCAGATTCTATAATCAACACATTGCAGTGCCTTCACATGAAATCAGAAGCTAAGTTGAGCATAGAGGCGCAGTACACTATTTTTTTTTAGAAGGACAAGTTAGCCCTGTCAACCAATGGTAAAATATGAGAGTTTAGGATCCTATGAGACCGCAACACAAGTTCCTGGTTGCAAGTATACAAAGTATATGAGGCTGATTCATGCTCAACTGGTGGGGAAAAAAAACATGCTTCCAAGGAAGCAATCTAATTATCACAAGCATACTACTTAAATGTGGCGAGAAGAGGCTAAGTGCGTGTAATGAGCACATAGAGTTATAGAAACATCAGATCAACTGGCTAACCTGTACAATATTAATAGGTAAAGGCTAGCTGCAAGCGAGAAGAATATACAAGTTGAGAAGGAGGAAAGCTGGTAGATCATGTGAGATGCGAAATAATCACGAAAGAGACAGTGCAACAAGCGAAATGATAAGGGTCAAGCCGGCGCTGCTATGCTATTCTTAATGAAGCATATCAGTGTCATATATGATGATGAAGCGAAGTAAAGGATTTGAGTGAGTACCAACCTAATGTGTGTTGGGCAGAGGAGGGGCCCTTCCCTCTGAACCTTGCCAACGCGCAGGGAGACGAGGGGTACGCAGAGGCAACGCGCGAGCATGCCCACCTCCGACACCTCGAAGTGCTGCAAGGGAGGGAGGAAGGGAGCGAGCAGAATGAATGAACAGATCCGTAAACCCTAGGCAACCGAGGAGGAGGAGGCAAGGCACCTGCGCGAGGTGTGCGATGAATCGGTCGTCCGCTGCGGCGCAGGAGACGTTGAGCGTGAGCAGCGGCCTGAGGCGTTCGTCGGCGCGGCAAGCCCCCATGAGCTGCTGGCGCAGAGGAGGCGGCGGCGGCGGTGGAGGGATACCCTCGTCGCTTTCCGATCGAGAGGTCTCCGGGTCGTCGGCGTCGGGGAAGGCGCGGGTTTCGGGCTCCAGCACCTCCCTGTCCCTGGTGGGCGGCGGATCCATCGGGAAGGGGAGGGGAAGCTAGGGTTGGCCGGGAGGACGACGGGGGGAGCGAATTGGGGGTTGATTGGATTGGATTTCCTTTTTGATGACGTGTGGTTGGCGAATGGCGAATGCACTACTAGTCGTCTCGTCTCGTCCAGTCAGCGCCTCCCTCCCTCTCTGTGTCAGGTCTCACGTCTCCGCGCAGGCGAGGAGACCACGAGATGAGCCACCGCCACATCAGCCGGTAGATATTTTGTCTTGAGAGAGAGATTATGAACTGGCCACTGGGCCTGCGTTGCGTTGCGTGGGCTTCCCCACGCATACTACAGTACTTAGACTGTAGTCCAGTTCAGCACATTGGTCCGACTCCATTCTCGAGGACAGCACCTTATAGAGTTGTCGGGGACCGAATACTGGGTACCTAAAGAAAAGTAGCTAATAACCATCAAACGTTAATGCTTTCGAACAGACAAGAGCGCGACTACACTTCTTGCCTAAATGACCAAGGGCAGACTCCGCCTCGTCCAATGTCCGGAGGCTGGCTCCGTCTCGCTTGACGTCTGAGGGCAGACTCCGCCCCGTCGGACGTTTGAGGGCAGGCCCCGTCTCGCCCGACGTCCCGAGGCAGGCCCCGTCTCGCCCGACGTCCCGGGGCAGGCCCCGTCTTGCCCGACGTCCGGGGGCAGGCTCCGCCTCGCCCGACGTCCGAGGGCAGACTCCGCCTCGTCCGACGTCCGAGGGCAGACTCCGCCCCGCCCGACGTCCGGGGGTTGGCTCCGCCTCGCGCCGACGTCTGAGGGCAGACTCGCCTCGCCCGACGTCCGGAGACAGACTCCGCCTCGCCCGATGTCCCGAGGCAGCTTCCGCCTCTTTCGACGTCCGGGGGCTGGCTCCGCCTCGCCCGACGTTCGGGGGCATCGTTTAGCCTGCCCGACGTCTGAGGGCAGACTCCGCCTCGCCCGACGTCCGGGGGGCTGGCTCCGCCTCGCCCGATGTTTGAGGGCAGGCCCCGCCTCGCCCGACGTCCGCCCGACCCCTAAGAGCAGACTCCGCCTTACCCGACGTCCGAGGGCTGGCTCCGCCTCACCCGACGTCCGGGGATTGACTCCGCCTCACCCGACGTCTGTGCGCTGCTCCTTCATAACTACGCGCGAAGAAAGGCGGGGCGCTCAAGTCAACCACAATATCGAGAACCATATCCTACACATCTGCAGGACAGTACCATCAGGATATGACTAGACGGGCGCTTTAAGCCCTTCCAGGCATGTCAGAGCCTAAATAGTGTTGTGGGCGCCGACATTTATCCTACAGTGTTATGGGCGTCGGCATTTGCCCTCGGACACGAATCCTGACGAAAACATACGACAACCACTACGGTCCGGGAGGAAACACATGTCATCTACAGTAACGAACGTGGGGCCTCTACGCCGTCTACTCCCCGTAGGGTCGCGGCTCGGCACCCTGGTGCGTCGCGCCGCCCGCGGGGGCGGGATGGGATGTGACCACTTGCTGAACGAAGCCAAAGCATGGCCCTATCAGGGTCAGCGAATGTGCTATCTCTGGCATCGTCTGCCGTGTCAACGAGGCTAGCTCAGAGGAAAAGGTAGACCCGGCATCTTTGAAGGATCTTCTTGGCCTCTAGTTCTTCTTCTTTTCTCCCATTTGTAATCCATACTCCCCCTTGATCTATAAAAGGGAAGGCAGGGCACCCCACTAAGGAGGGGGATCGATTCAACACACCACGCATCACGTAACACACATCTGAGCAGCATCTAAGCTCTCAGCACCCGTTTGACCTTTACATCAAAGACTTGGGACCTATCCCTCTCTCGCCCGTTTGTACCCCCTACTACGAACCTTTCAGTGCTAATAACATGAACAACAGCTGCAAACTAGACGTAGGGGCATTCTACCTGAACCAGTATAAACCTTGTGTCCTTTATCACACCATCCAGGCCCAACACGCAATAAATACAAATTTACTTGTTGGTGTTTGCTCGAAACACCGACAGTTAGCGCGCCAGGTAGGAGACCTTTGCGCATTCCAACGTTAACATCAGGCCACGGATGGCTAGCCACGGAATCAGCTGGGTCCCGGGCGCACACGTGCGCTTCGGTGACCTAGACTTCATCGTCACGGTGGGAGGAGAGTTGGTATTGGGCCACGCCGCCATCCAACCTCTCCCCCCCATCGACCTCGACTACAGGAGGCTTGAGCGCCAGCTCGGCGTCTCCCTAGGACCCCAGTCGTCTAGGGAGGACCCGTGCCACCTTACCCTCTCCCCAAAACACCCCACACAGAGCGTCCCGACAATGCTTTCGTTCGGTCTCCGCAACACCGCGATGACCGTTAGCCACCTTGTGGCACAGCGCATGATCCCATTCCCCGCGAACAATGAGTTCATGGGGGTGATCGAACATGTCATGGAATTTGTCCACGGCCTCCTCGCAGAGGAGCCGGGGTCGCCCTCTGGCTCTAACTCCAGCAGGGGGAGCCATCACCCCTCTCGGAAATGCTTCATGACGGGTACCCCCGAGGGACACGTCGAAAGCGTCTCCGAGGAGGAGGCTACCCTGGCGAACAACCTCGGTAATGAGGCCGAGGGGGAGACAGCGGCCCCACCTCGCATGGGGGTGGAGCAGCTGAAAGCCCAACACCGAGAGATCGAGGAAGCACGAATCTAGCTCGAGCAGGAATACGCGAAGCTCGATCGGGAGATAGAGCACCGCAGAGACGATGGGTGCGCATGCTCCATGGCCCGAGATGTGAACCGGAGAATCATCATAGACAATGAAGCCCTCCCTCGCTTCGCTTGGGCAAGCTAGAACATCGCCGCCGCCATGGCCTTGCTCCATGGCCTTCTAGAGGCCGCGATGCCCGAAGATCATCGGGCTCATCACTGTAACACCTCTGGTGTTTTGACCTATCATTAAAATTTGACATGTTATCATATGCATTGCAAAGCATTTATAAAGTAGAAAATGTTGAATGCATTCACTAAATAAGCTTTATTTCATAATGTTGTTATTTTATATGATGTGATTCAAAACCCTAAATAAAGATCATGACCACAAGAGTCAAAATTCATGTGATCATGTGAGACCATGTGTTAATTGACTCAAATAACCCTAATAGGCCATGTTACTGGTCAAAAATCAAAGTTAAGTCAAAAGGTAAACAAATTAAATTTGAATTCAACTTCAAATTATAAAAATCCTTTTTGCCCCTTTTGTATATTTCAAAATCCATTTGGAATTTGGGGGTGTGACAAAAAGCAAAGTTGAAGCTTATTTTATAAGGATCAACTTTGGTATTCAAAGTTTTTAAAGTTTACATATAAAGTTTGGAGTAATTTTGAAATGGTTCAAATGCTCAAATGCACCCCAAATTCAAATTTTAAAATGGAGGAAGAATTTGAAAATATTCCTTGAAGCAAAGTTGTAGAGTTTGAAAAGTTGAGCAACTTTCATTTTTGGAGATTTTCATCTTTTTTAGAAAATTTGAGAGTAATTTGCAAAATGAATTCAGTGGCAAATCTGTAATTATTCGGAACAGTAGCACGACCACCGCCCCACCGCCGGCGTCCTTTCTCCAGTCTTCCAGGCGCATCTGCGACCGCCCTTAGCTTCACGCTAGCGCGGGGAGCACGCTGCGTGTCGATTCCGCGCGCTCCTGGCCGTGCTATAAGACCCAGACGTCGTCGTTGGCTTTTCTTTCTTTCCCTCTGTTTTTCCCGACGCCGCCGTCTCAACTCCTGCGAGCTTCTCTCGTCTCCCCAGCGCAAGATAGCCCCAGGAAAGCCATGTCCTAGTTCCGCCTACTCCTTACGCATCCGACCGAGCTGTTGCTACCGCTTGATTTCGCCGAGAGCTCGCTGTCCATGTTCATCTTCCTTGTGGCCGGCGACCTCGACCGAAACTCTGATTCACCGTGGCCAGCATCGTCCGGTGAGCTGTTGCCCTTTCTTGTTGACTCTACAGCTTTGTCTCGATGCTGTAGTACTTATTCCACTCTTGCCTACTCGTTTTGCCCACTGCAGTCGTCGTAACACCGTCGTCGACGAGGTCCGCTCCGCCGTGATCCCGGTCACCGTCGAAATGCGTCAACATAGCTCATCCGGTCTCGCTCGTTGCTTCAACACATTCGGGGTGAGCCACTTATGCTTCCTGAACTCTCTGTTTCACCGTTACCGGCCTTGTTTCATCGGCGTAACACTGCCGTGCCACCGCGCCCGCCATGGCCGGCGTCAGCCTTGTTTCATGTCGTAATCAACCTCCAAAGTACCACAGATCAATGCGCCTAGTTCTTGTGAACGTGTTGGTACTTTGGCCGTTGCTGTTGGGCTCACCAGCGGCGAGTTAGCGCCGGTCAGCGCCGTCGATGCCACGGTCAATGACCGAGGATAGGGATGACATGTGGGGGCCGGCTGTCAGTGGGAGAGAGAGAGAATAGTGTACTTTGATATTTTCTGATTTTGAATAGTGCTGAATCTTTGGAAATTTGTAGGAAAATAATCATAGCTTAAAAAATTCTAAAAATTTGTGTGTAGCTTCTGTACATGTTCTATTATGGTTTAAAAATTTGAAACTTGAAATTTGAATAAATTTTTAATGTTCAAAAATTCAGTCAATTAATTGATAAATGCAATTTCCATAATTTTTGTAGGTCACTGTATAGCTCCAAAAATTATGAAATTTATTTTGGTACACTAATTTGTCATGAGGAAGCTTACATAAAATTTTGAGGTCATTTGGAACAAGTTTATTTTTGGGCTTATTTCCAAATTAATTCAAAAATAAATAAAAGCAAACCCTAAGTGTTTGATTAGTGTTTGATCTTGTTTTGGTCATGTTTTGTGACTAGTATGGTTTCAAGATCAGTTTGGTCAAGTCACATGTGTGGTTCTTGCCATTAGAATTGCAAGTTAGTTTTGTTGGCTTGCAACTGTACCGTGAAAAACAATTGTATTCGAGGTGTTGTTATATTTCATGTACCATGACAGTATCATGTTTACATT